TGATGTAGACGCGGCCACTCTTTTTTGCACGACCACGCAGGACAGATTGATTGGGGTGGCGAAAAAGAGATAAAATTACATTGTCGGCATGTTGCAGCACAAAATCATATTCCGTGTTCGTCATTGGGTCGATGAAGGATAATAAGTATGACAAGCAGGGTTGGTGAGATGGCGGGCTGCAGCGAGAACTGCGACGTGATTTCAACGTTCATGGGGGGCATGACAGAGATTGATGGGGTGGCGGGCGTGAGTGAGCAAAGAGTCAGCATCTCTCCAGGGGAGGCCGGCAGTGGCCCAATATGGCTGCTGGTTGCATTTTCTTGGCCGACAGTATTCCGGCTACCTTCAGCAAGTCAACCGCTCAGTGCGTGGGCCGGGGTACGGCACGCTATGTGTCTTTTCTGTTCGTTGCTTCGTCGACTTTGGCAGGATCCGGCAAGGCGTCCAAAGCCCAAAGGACACCAGCAGTGTAAATTTGTTCCGTCTCGGTCGATTCGAGTATCTGGGGTAGCATTCATCCAGGGTTCGGTACCCCAAGTCACAAGGACATGTTTGTCCCGGCAGACAGACAGTTGGCCGCCCGAAGTCAGAAAGTGGGGAAGAAGAGTCTCCATGGCAATTCGCGATCAGGTCACGATCGTCCAATATTGAAAGCAGTTACCCATGAGCATGCAATCGAGCAGCCCCATGGAGCTGACTTGCCTCGTGGTCTGCCTAGCCCTCTGCCCTCTGTCCTCTGCCCCTTGCCCCTTGCCGAATGCTGGCTGCCTGCGGCGAGGAAGCGGCGGTCAATCATGTCGGTCAGCAGCATGACAATTTGGCCGAATGGCAGCTGCCACGCTGTCGATCTTGCTGACTCGGACCACGAGAGCCCTTTGCCATGACTTGCAATTCCGTTCAAGGCCATTCCAGAATTCTTTTCAATTTGTCGTTCGAAAACAAAAGCTCGTCAAAAGAGGCTCTAAGATCCTGCCACCGAGATCAAAGGGGAAGGAAGAGTGCCTCTAGCATATCCAGGTGAATCATGCATGAGACTCACGCACCACGCAAAGAAGTGAGCTTCAAGTCAAAGGAAAGAATGATTCAAACTGCCAAGCCACCAACGTGGTTACCATCTGGCTGCCACACTCCTTCCCCATCATTGTCCTCGCCCCGACGTCCGTCTATCTTGCACCTGCCAATCACCATGTTGCTGGGCTGGGGTCATGCCTGCCCTGTACAGCATCGGCGCCATGTTAGCGTACCTTTTCTTGGGGTTCGGCTGGCAACCACGCATCCCGCTTCTCCTTCTCCGCAGCGACAACTGGCCATGTTCATGTTCAAGGTCCCAAGCTAGCCACCGCCATCGTCAACTCAGCCAATCCTCGTGTGCTTCAGCGCCGCCTCCCTCAAGCTCCAGGCTCCCCAAAGCCAAGTGCCAAACACCACACCACACCACCTCGGGCTTCACACACACCAGGCCACTTCGTTTCGCGAGCCATCCACCGACCCTACCATACCCTGTCCTGTCCTGTCCTGTCCTGTCCATGCACCATCCCTCTTGTCATCTCGTCCGTTGATACCTATGACACGTCTCCGTCCTCGAAACCCCGAGGTCTCATTCTTCTTCCTCCTACACGCCAACGCCATGTCGTCCGCTCACACCTCTTGTTCCTCTTCCCTTGTCTGTGTAACGGCCTCGCCCCTTGGCTTCCCCTGCGCCGACGCCCTGCTGGGCATCTTCTCGTTAGGTGTTCCCTGACGATTAGGCTTAGGCCCGAAGACCCTGCTCTGGCCGGTCGTCAGCCCCGACTGTCTGGGACTGATATATTCCCATCGCCTGCCTTCTTCGCTTCGAGCCACCTTCATGACGGCCGCCAACATCATTCACCGATACACAGAATCTCAGTCCAACTGCCGCTTAGGTAGCCCTCTTACACTGTACTTTGTTGCTCCGAAAGTCGTGAGCTGGTGCGTTTCTGTCCCTCGCTGAACGGGCCTTTTTCTTTTCTTTGTATTCTTGTTTTTGGCTCTCGTCGGGTCATATCACCATCTGTCACACCAGTCAAAAACCCTCGCTGCTTCGGCTCCCTTCCGCCTGGCTCTGCGACCCCGTCTTGCTCCTATTGTGCCGCTTCCCGACCATCTCTGTCCTTCACAGCGCTCGTGTCGCCATCCCCGAGTCGACGGCAACTCTCCATCGTTTGTCCGACCTGGGATTGTCTGTACAACGTCTCTCCCCTAGTCCAAACGACGTCCCCGCCCGTTGTTTCGGGACCAGAAGATCCAATCCTATCTCTGAAGGCCTTTCTATCCCGACTCGCATTTCAGCTCCCGCAGCGGCTGCGAGTCCCCCAAAAGTATGCCTCGCCCTCTCCGTCTCTCCCCCTCCAGTTCTCGTCGTTGGACGCCACCTCACATCACAAAAACGCCGCCAAACATGTGTGCTAATCGCGACAGGCCTCTGCTGACACTGACCCTGTTAGGGCGGGCAGCTCGTGCTCCTCCGACGCTCCTCGTCGGTCCTCCGTCGTCTCTTCAGTCCGATCAGCTTGTGCCAAGACAGTACTCAGGCCCGGAAAAGATGCCTTTGAGCGGCACTCAAGTGACCACCATCATCGCCCTCGAACGCACCGGAGCTTCACTCTCTTTGATTGGCATCACCCTCATCTTTGTCTCGTACTACCTGTTCAAGCGACTGAGGACCATTCCCAATCTGTTCATAGTCTTTGCTTCGGTCGCCAACATTGGCGCCAGCATTGCGTGCCTCATTGGCTACGATGGTATCCTCATAGGAGAGGCTTCCGCGTTGTGCCAGGCTCAGGCCTTCATGCTGGAGATGTTTGTCTTTCCCCGGGACGTACGGGCGCAACGCAGCTAACGATACAAATAGGTTTATGCAGTCTGACCCCTGGTGGTCCTTGGCCATGGCAGTTAACGTCTATCTTGTCTTTTTCTTCGGCGCCAGCCCAGCCTCTTTCCGACAGTATCTCTGGGTGTACTGCGTCATTTGCTTTGGTGGGCCATTCATACCCGCTATTGTGCTTCTGCTTGCGCGCCCGAATGGGCAGATGATGTATGGCAATGCGACAGTATGTGTGGTCTCTGACGTTTCAGCACGGGTCTTCGACGTTGGCTTTCATGAAGCGCTAACGAGAGGCATAGCTTTGGTGCTGGATCAATAGCGACTGGAGTGAACTGCGCATCTACACTTACTATCTGCCGATTTGGATCTGCATCCTCTGCTCCATCCTGATTTACTTTGCCGTCGGCTACCACGTCTTCCACCAACGCAACCAGCTGCGAAACCTTACGTTCAGTCACATAAAAGATGCGAATGAAGTATCAATATCAGAGGATAACAGAGACTCAGCAGAGAAGGTTAGGAGAAGCGATCGTGCTGTTTCCCAAGCCCAGAGGCTGACTTTGACGCAGAATCTCACTGGACGTTCAGAGGACTGGCAGGTCACCGCTGTCACTGAAGTTCAAATCACGACCGGGTCCCCGAGGCCAGATCGGACAATCGAAATGCCAACTGTGCCACCGGCGGCATTGACAGACTCGCCGCAGATCCACAGCGCCGGACACGCGCAGTCATGGCATTCAAGTCATGAACGTGTGCCGAGTCCTGTCATCAGCCACGCGCGTTTCGAGACGATGATCAGTTCGAACCCACCACCACCCCCTCCGCGGAGGTCTTTGTTGGGGTACGTGAAGGGCGGCATGCAAAAGTTCAACGCCAAGTTGCAAGGGCTGGATCCCGTCAAACTTGCCTACCTGCGAACAAGTTTCATCTTTGCCATATCGATCCTTGTCACATGGACGCCAAGCTCCATCAACCGCGTCAATGACTTGGTAAACCCTGGCCAAGTCAGCTTTGGCCTTAATGTTGCCACGGCGATTGTGCTGCCCTTGCAGGGGGTTTGGAACGCTGTCATTTACTTCATGACGAGCTGGACCACTGTCAAGGAGGAGTATCGCCGCTTGATGCATCGTAGGTCGATCAGGCGGCTTGATAGCCGGGAGGACAGCCGGGGGAGAAGTGCGAGGCTGAACATCTTTCGAGGCCACCGTGACAACCATTTCGACCCATCACGTCTTGAGAGTGGTAAGCGGCCACGCAGCGGCCAGGTCAGTGAGTACGAGCTGGCGCCGCCTGCGAAGAAGGGTCATGGAAATGTTCGGGCCATGCGGGGCTCGTTTTAGCTGGTTGTATTCCAGTGCGCGTTGTTGGGGTGTTCGTTTCGACTCATTTCGCATCAGCGGTGGCAGGCGTTGCGTACGAAGAAGTCTATTTGCCAAGAAAAAGTCTGGCTTGAAGACATGGTGTTTGCAACATGAGCTTTCCAAGTATAATCTGTACAGTATCAAAATCTGTGCCTGATAAAGTAGCCACGGGACAGTGTATTGGAGCTCGCGCCCGAGTGAAGTATTACTGCAGCCTCGATGTTGTCATTGTGCTGATGCTTTGATCTGGGATATTTTGTCATGTGGTACCTCCAATTGGACGCGGTCAGTCAAAAAGTGATTCATGAACATTTTATCTGCCGTTGAAGTATCAAAGATAGTCAAGTTGGACTTGGGATCCCCCCAAGCCCCCTAGTATGGCACCTGCTCACATAGGCCTTGACGGCTAATCATCGGCAGGTACAGGCCGAGCGGGACGTGTTAGCGCCAATGACCTCTACCCGTGAGACTGGCGCATGTATGAATACGGCGCACGACGCATCAGACAACCAAAGTCTGCGCCAACCTGAGTTCCGTCGAGGCTCCAGCGTGTTCACAAAACGTGGGGACGATAACGCTTGCAGCTGGGGCGTACCGAGACTGAGAAGAGGAGCTGTCGGACTGACATGTCGGACGGGGTGACGCCCGCGCTCTGCACCGAACCTGACTCATCAACTGACGACCTTCAACCCGACGCACGAGGATCTCTCCCTCATCGTCTCACTGTAGCAAATCGCACGGGTATCAGCCAACACTGCATTTCATAAACCCCCACCATGGCGAAAAACGTCTGCATAATAGGTACGTCGCCGGACCTCCCGCACCTTGCTTTTCAGCATTTCCTCCGCCTCCCGTACCCCCCACCCCCCCTTCATACTCCGCACGCCAAACTAACCGCCCAAAGGCGCCGGCCCCTCCGGCCTCGTGGCCGCCAAGACGCTCCTCTACAACGCGCCGCAGGGCGCCTTCAAGGTGACCGTGTTCGACGCCCAGAAGCGCGTCGGCGGGCCTATGGCACACGTCGCCCCGCGACGACGGCGGCACAGTACACCCCCTGATGACGACCAACCAGAGCCGGCACACGATGCACTTTAGCGATTTCGGCTGGGAGGACGCCGACGGGCAGTTTCCGCGCGCGTGGATGGTCGGGCGGTATCTCGAGCGGTATCTCGCGCGGTATCCGGGGGCCGAGGTCCGTCTTGGGTGGAGGGTCACGCGGACGGAGGCGCTCGAGGGGCATGCTGGCGGAGGCGGCGGGTGGAGGGTCACGGCGAGGGATGGGTCGGGCAGGGAGGAGGTTGGGCTTTTCGATCGGCTTGTTGTCGCTACTGGGTTCTTTGGCGAGCCTGTTCTCCCGAGGGGCATCACGGATGGGGCGACGGTGCCGGTTGTGCATAGCAGTCGGTATCGGGACCTCAAGGGATTGCTTGGAAAGGGGGCCAAGGGGGGCAAGATTCTGGTCGTGGGAGGCCAGATGTCGGGTGTCGAGATTGCGGGCACGATTGCGAGTCATCTTTCGTCTGCGGTCAATGCGCCAGGGACGACAAGCGAGCTTGCTGGTGCTGAGGGGTACACGATCCATCACTTGATTCAGCATCCTGCGTGGGTGTTTCCCCTGTACACGACACCCAAGGTTTGTTCGCCCCGAGACCGCTTTGCAGCCCCAGGCGACTGACCTGTCCAGCCCAAACTGTCGGCTCCCCCTTTCTTGCCGGTCGATCTCGGCTCTTATAACCTCAACAACAGGCCCAAGCCCCTGACGAACACGCAGGGCCACATCGCTCCCGAGACGGCCAAGACGGTGCACGGTATCTTCCAGAATATCGTGGGCCAGGATCAGTCCCAATTCTCCGAGTCCATCGCTGTCAAGGGTGACCTGACCTCGGAGCCACCCTACCTCGCCATGAGCGAATTCTACACAGAGTTCGTCCGGTCCGGCCTCATCACGGCCTCGAAGGGCAAACTGGAAGCAATGGAGAGCACCACAGCCATAGTCACTCCGTCAGGCGAGAAGATCGAGGACGTGGCGGCTGTTGTTCTTGCCACTGGCTTTGATCCTTCGCCTTGCGTCTCTTTCCTCCCCGACTCGGTCCTTAGGATCCTCCACCACAGCCCTGAGCACCGCGATCTGCCGTTGGCACTGGGGTTCCACGGCACGCAACACCGCGATCTGCCGACGTTGGGATTCGTCGGGTTCTACCGTTCACCCTACTGGGGTGTCATGGAGATGCAAGCACGCTTCCTCGCCGCCCTATGGACACCAGAGAACCTTGCAAAGCCCCCAGCGGGCCTGGCGGCTGCTGTGCAGAGCGAGGCATGCGAAAAGCGCATTTTGGCTCTGCGAGAAGATTCACGATGCTCGCAGTTTCCATTTGGTGATTACGCCTTCATTATGCAGGAGATGGCGGCAGCGTTGGGCATGTCTCTTTCTCCCCCAAAAAAAAAAGCCACCGACGCTGCCGCACAACAGCCTTCCGCCTTCCCATGGACATTCTCACATCATCGCGATACCTTTCACCGCTGGCCGATGCGCAGGCCAAAGCAGAGAACGCCAAAGTGCTGCAGTATTCCAACGATGTCGCTACAGCAGCCTTGACGAGCAGCCGATTCGTGGCGCACGCCGTGTTCCGCAGCCTTCTCGGGACGTGGAAGCTGGAGCGCTCCCTTGACAGCAAACTCCCATCACACCCCAGCGGCACTTCAGCGGCACGGCACGGTTCCTGCTCCGCGACGCCACGGCGGACGGCTTGCAGTGTGCATCGCCGAGCGACAGCGTCGCGCCATCGGCGACGGACCCAGGTGACCCCGGTCAGGAGTACCTCTACATCGAGGAGGGCGAGTTCAAGGCGAGCAACGGGCTCGTGTTCCAGGCGCGGCGTCGGTACATCTGGCGGTACGACGAGAAGCGCGACACGATCAGCGTGTGGTTCGTGCGGACAGACGACGACAAGAGGGCAGACTATCTATTCCACGAGGTCGAGTTTGAGACGAAGCTGGCGACGGAGGAATCAGACGAGAGGGCGCCCTGGAGGGCCAAGGCGGGCCATCTGTGCATCGACGACTTCTACAATGTCGCGTACGAGTTTGCGTTCGCGGCGGTGCACCTGAGAGAGTGGTCGATCGGGTATGCGGTGCAAGGGCCGAAGAAGGACTACGCCATCCGCGGGGTGTACCGGCGGGAGTAGGGGAGTCAGCTCGAGGCGAAAATAAAGCCCTCCCGCTTCAGGGGACCCTCGATCAAGACTAGGATGATCGACCCGAGGTGCAGATTGACAGGCCGGCCGTGTCTCGTTTGCCCTGGCTCCGATCATGACTCTGTTTCGTTCTAGGCGTCTTGGTGATCCGAGAGGGCTGCAGGTAACGTGAAAAGATGAGTGACGGTGACCATGGCATTGGTGCTTGGCGGCAGAGTCAGGCCATGCTGACATGGCGACGGATTGGGTGCTAGGCAGGCGCTATGGCGGGCGGTGCTTCCGAGCTGGCTTGGCTGACTGGCTGGTGGTGGCAGGCACGTTCCTAGATGGTACTTGCTAGCTACCCTTGCTACCCCGCCCCCGCCGTCCGTTGCACCTTCTTCCATCAAGCACAGTTGGTTGCTCTTGCCCCGTGCCGCGTTCGGTCAGCCACTTGTTGTCTCCGTCACGGCCGCCGCTTCCTCGACTGTTCTATCACCTCTCCTCTGCAGTGAGGTGCTGCAGCTCCACGCTTCTCTGGCGTGGCCCTTGTGTCCCCTCTGGCCTTGGTCAGACAAAGCTAGAGAACTCTGTCGAGGGCGGTGCGCCAGGAACCGCCGTTGCGCATACATCTATCTACGTACCTTTGTGTGTTCAGCATGGCCGCTTGCAGCTTGTTAAATACCTCGACCAGCTTTTCCCCTCCATCATCAGCCTTGATCGTAACGTCATCTTGCCTTGCCCAGCTGTCCTTCTCGCGACTCTCCAGGTGCTCTGCGTAACGCCAGCCTCCTCTTGACATTGAAACAAAACCTGCCCGGCGACCACGTCCTCACCATGAAGATTGCCGTCTTCTCCGCCAAGCCGTACGACGAGAAGTACCTCACGGCCGCCAAACCCCCAGGGCTCGACATTGTCTTCCACGATGTCTCCTTGACCCCAAAGACAACCTCCCTGCTGACGCCTCACGCTGGCGCCGACCCCTACACGGCTGTGTGCGTCTTCGTCAATGACCACCTGCCGGCCTCTGTGCTGGACGACCTCCACGACGCTGGCATCCGCGTCATTCTCCTACGCTGTGCTGGCTTCAACAATGTCGACCTGCCGCACGCCGAAAAGCTGGGCATCGCCGTCGCCAACGTCCCCTCGTACTCCCCCGAGGCCGTCGCCGAGTTCGCCGTCGCGTTGCTGCAGACTCTCAATCGCAACACGCACCGCGCCTACAACCGCGTCCGCGAGAACAACTTTGCCCTCAACGGCCTGTGCGGTCGCACCTTGCACGGCAAGACGGTCGGCCTCATTGGCACCGGTCGCATTGGCGTCGCCTTTGCGCGCATCATGAAGGGCTTCGGCTGCAAGGTCATCGCCCACGACCCGTACCCTTCCGAGGCCTTCGAGCAGTATGGCAAATACGTCGACCTGCACGAGCTGCTGCCGCTGTGCGATGTCGTCAGCCTGCATTGCCCCCTCACCGAGCAGACGCGCCACATTATCAACGACGACACGCTGGGCCTCATGAAGAAGGGCGCCCTGCTCATCAATACCTCGCGTGGCGGCCTCGTCAGGACGAAATCCGTCATCACGGCGCTCAAGGAACACAAGCTCGGCGGCCTAGCGCTCGACGTGTACGAGGGTGAGGGTGCGCTCTTCTACGATGACCACAGCGGCGACATTATCGACGACGACGAGCTGATGCGCCTCATGACGTTCCCAAACGTCGTCATCTGCGGCCATCAGGCCTTCTTCACCGAGGAGGCCCTGACGGAGATTTCCGAATGCACGGTGCGGAACCTCGAGGACCTCGTCGCGGGGCGTGTGTGCAAGAATGCGCTCGTGCAGCCGCGCGAGGGTGTCAAGGAGGACGAGAGGGGGCTGGTGAAGCCGTTGGCGAGGAGGGATTCGCTGCCGGTGCGCACTGTCTGAGATTGTCTCGATGGATGCTGTTGCCCTAAAGGCCGAATGACCTGGAAAAGGAGATAGCACATGATGTGTATTGACTTCATGAACAAGGTCTCTTCTCGAAGCACGCCGTGCGGTCCAGGCCCCAAATGACATCATGCTTGACGTGAACGTGCGACATCGGCTCAGGACAGATGGAGCAGGTGGGCCATGTTTTCTTTCTGGCACACACATTGCCCTGATTTTGATCCAATCTCCAGCAAACGCCGAGATCCCTCCATTTCAGAAAATTTGCGATCCGGGCGTAAGGACCGGTGCCCCATAATTCCCGGTGAGAAACCGGCGTCCGGGAGGGGCCGTCCTTTGGCGAAACTACGGATGCCGAGAGAGCGTGTTCCAAGGTACTGAGAAGGCATTTGATGGCTTTGAATCTTTTTGCACAAGTCTTCCTTTTAAGGCGACTCCAGGGGTCTGGGACATCCTTTGGAAGAGACTCGTCACAACTATGCTACCATTGAAAAACGACGACATGCCGAGATATCCCCTGATCGCGCCCACAGCAACATCGACCATCCCTGTATTTAAGTACTTTATTCCCGTTCATTCCCACGACGGCCTCCACTTTGGGAGTAAGGCGCCCAAACACATTGGCCCCCGACCGTCACCATTGGTCAACACCATAATGATGGCCCTGAACTACCGCCTTGACGTGGGTATTATGAGACCCTGTCTTCCTATCTCATTCATATCGCCGTGCTTCCTCCGTGACGGCCGTCTAGGACATGTGGGCCTTGTCGTGATGCTGTGGCCGAACCTTGCCGATGTCAAGGCGGCCGCGGCCCAAGTATAAAGAGGCTCTGCGCCTGGCTTGTTTCTGGAAGCATTGAAGTGACACGCTTTGCTTGGCTTCCTCTCGCCGCTCCCCTGCCTTCTACCTTGTCTTTGCTCGTTGGCCATTGCTCCTCGTCATGGAAAAGTCCGTTCCCCCAGAGACATCGGGCTCTCCCCCCGCCCATCCACCTACGAAGGAGCAACGCGATCCCGAGCTCGACATCGCCCTGCCCTACCGCACCCTCACCTCCAACGCCAACCTCGCCGAGTACACGACAACGGATCCCAGGGGCGAAATCCCCGGGCCCCCGGTCCCCGCCAGCAGCAACAGCAGCAGTGGCGGCACCGCCGTCCAGGAACAGTACAAACTCGTCACCTTCCGACCCAACGATCCGGAGAACCCCCGCAACTGGAGCAAGGTGTTCCGTTGGTACTGCACGCTTGTCGTGGCCTTGACGTGCTTTGTCGTCGCTTTATGCTCGAGTATCATCACGGCCGACATTGCGGGCGTCGCGCGAGAATTCGACGTCAGCCAGGAGGTGGCGCTGGTGACCGTCTCGGTGTTTGTCGTCGGCTTTGGCATTGGGCCCATGGCTTTTGCACCCCTTTCCGAGGTTTTTGGCCGCAGGATCATATAGTACGTTACAGATGGCTTTTTCTCTTTTGGGTTCCAGTAGTCTAACTTCTACAGTGGCTCGACCTTGCTCTTGGCCGTCATTTTCATTATTCCTTGCGCCGTTGCGAACAACATCGGCACCCTCATCGTCTGTCGTGCCATTGACGGCATTGCCTTTTCGGCACCCATGACGCTCGTCGGCGGCACTCTTGCCGATCTCTGGAGCAACGAGGAGCGCGGCGTGCCCATGGCTGCCTTTTCTGCGGCCCCATTCATCGGCCCTGCCAGTACGTGTTGGTCTGCCTCATGACACAGTCACACACTGACAAAGGGAAAAACAGTCGGCCCCCTCGCTGGCGGCTTCCTCTCCGATGCTCTCGGCTGGCGCTGGCTCTACTGGCTCCAGCTGATCCTCGCCTTTGTCGTCTGGGTCCTCATCACCTTCACCGTCCCCGAGACGTACACGCCGACCATCCTGGCGCGCCGCGCCGCCAAGCTCCGCGCCGAGACGTCAGACCCGACGCACGTGACGGAACAGGACATTGACCCCCGGCCGCTGACAGCGCGTCTCGGCGTCTTCCTCGTGCGGCCGTTCCAGCTCCTCTTCGGCGAGCTCATCGTCTTCCTCATCAGCGTCTACATGTCGGTCCTCTATGGGCTGCTCTACATGTTCTTCGTCGCCTACCCCATCGTCTACCAGAAGGGCAAGGGCTGGTCGGCCGGCTCGACAGGGCTCATGTTCATCCCCATAGCCATCGGCGTCCTCTGCTCGGCGGCCTGCGCGCCCGCCGTCAACAGGCACTACCTCCGGCTGGCGGCGCGGCACCACGGCCGGCCGCCCGCCGAGGCGCGCCTCGTGCCCATGATGGCGAGCTGCTGGTGCATCCCGGCGGGGCTGCTCCTCTTCGCGTGGACGAGCTACCCCGACGTGCACTGGATCGGCCCGGCGCTCGGCGGCTTCCCCGTCGGCTTCGGCTTCATCTTCCTCTACAACGCCGCCAACAACTACCTCGTCGACAGCTACCAGCACCAGGCGGCGTCGGCGCTCGCCGCCAAGACGTGCATCCGCTCCTTCTGGGGCGCCGCCGTCGTCCTATTCACCGAGCAGATGTACGGCCGCCTCGGCGACCAGTGGGCCTCGACCCTGCTGGCCGCCATCGGCCTGCTGTGCTGCGGCATCCCGTTCCTGTTCTGGCGGTACGGCGCCCGCATCCGGGCGCGCAGCCGCTTTGCGTATTCGGGCGACGACGAGGAGACGGGGGCCGACGACGGGGCCGGGAAGCGGCGTGCTGCGCAGGATGGCCCGCTGCGCACGGAGGAGCTAGATGACGATCTGAGGAGGGCGCGGAGCTACGTGAGCAACCCTTAGGTCGGTACTGCTCGCTGGAGTGTGATCACATAGAGTTAGGATACCCAAGTAATGTCGAGACCGAGTCTTATGACAAACAGAGCCCTGTCCGTGCGCCATCGGCTAACGACAACGAAGTCAAGTACCATAATGGCTTTACTGTGTTGATAATCATCACAACACTATGAGGTTCGCGCATAACGTGTATAAAGAAACTAGTGGACTTGTCTGAACCAAGCTTCGACGCGCTCCCAAATCGATCCGAACGCCAAGCTGTGCTTCGCAAGGTGCCAGGGCACCAAATAGTATAAACAAACCGCGCATTACTTCCATCGCATCATTATATCACGCCCGGTTCTCGCTGTTATCCCTCCAGATATGCGCGTCCCCCAGACTCAGGGAGCTCTCTGACGTGCCGGCGTGATTGAGGCCTTGGTCGGGGGAGGCCTGGATGTCGACCAGCTGCTCTTGGCTTTCCGCCTCGGATGGCTGTGTCGGGGGAGGATCCTGGTAAATCCAGGGGTTTTCCAGACTGCACCGCGTTAGCTAGGGACCACGAAGGCAAGAACAGCCATAAAATACCGATAGGTGAGGCTCGGGTTCACAAATTTCATCCCCTTTTCCTTGTCCTCATCAATTGTGCTGCCGCGCCTCAGCAGGCCATGCGACGGTCTGGGTCCATCAAAGTCCTCGTCGTCAGCCACAGCCTCCTCGCCGGTGCCAGCTTCCGGCACGATCGAGCGAAGGGCAATGAAATACGTCAGCGGGACGAAGCGCCGGCTGAAGTAATAATTGTACCAAATGGTCAAGAAAATGAGAGGGAATGTCAGCACCGACTGGATAAAGGCCGACTCGAGGGCCATCTCGCTGATCATGACGACCTGAAAGACGAACAAACCCAGCACCACGCGGTTGCAGATGATGCGCCACGCACCACCGGTCGCATGCTGGGGCTGGTCCATGGCGTACAAAAGCTGGTACTTGTAGGTGAAGTAGCCAAACGTGAAGTAGACGAGTCCAACCGTCAGAACCAGGTAGCCATATTGAATGACGCTGTACACAAGGCACAGGATGAAAACGAGCAATGCCGTCGGGAGGTAGAAGCCGTAGCTAAAAACAGGCGGCGACATGATCTGGGCGAAGTCGCGTGGCGTCTTGGCACCCATGCGGTAGATCGGGTACAGCAAGACACTGCCGACCTCCAGCAAGCGGAATGGGAACAAGCCAAGACCCTGCAGCATGATGAAGTTGGTGTAGAAAAAGCTGAGGTCGTTGATCTGTCCGGCTATGAAGCGTGCAAAGGCTCCCGTGTCGCGAAGGCCGTCTTGAACCCTTCCCACAACCTGGAAAATATTGATGGCGGTGCTCGAAATGGCGAACACGATGAAAATGTTGAAGAAGGAAAAGAAGAAGTTCTTGGAAATAATGGACAACTCGACGTCGCCCTTGGAGATCATGCCTTGTTGGTACGACAAGAAGTCGTACAGGTACGGGACCGCCACGTTGAGCAACGAGACGAGGAGCGTCGGCAAGCCTGTCTCTATCAGGGCCCGGAGCACAGGTAGGTCATCCAGCGTTGCCACAACGTTCGGGAACCATTTCTTGAGGTTGCAGATGGTCAAGAGTCCGGCAAGGGACGGAACGGAGCCGATCCAGACGAGAGACAGCAGTGTAACAAAAATCGTAATGACCCAGGAGCGAATGCCACGGACGCCCCTAGGCGTATCCGTATTGGTCCAGATGACATCTGACGGGGACGGCGCAGGTTTTGTGAGCAGTTGGCCGGTCGGGGGTCGATACGGGCCTGGATCGCATCTGACACGCGCAATCGAGTCCATGGTGACAAACGCCGTTGACGCAGCAGCGGGGGTCTTTTTTGCGCGAGGCAATAATCCTGTCGTCGAGACGTCGGAGTTTCTCTTCGTAGTAATCAATGGCATCCGTCTTGCGGGTGCGGAGACCCAAGAGGCCGTACCGCAGCGTCAACGAGGGTCGCTGTCTCTCGATCAGTTCGGGTCGAATGTCCTCGTGGCTAAGGAGCCGTCCATTCTCGCCCGCATCTTCCTGTTCGTCGCTGTCGCCACTGCCAGATCCCTGGTTCTCCTCGTCTTCAATCCGGTTCGACCTGAGGCGTTGGATTGACTTTGGTAGAGCAGACTGCTTCCCCAGGTAGACACTCCACGCCTCCTCAAGTTTGCGCAGCATGGCCTCGCGCTGCGCAACAAGGCCGTCCAGCTCCTTCCAGTTGCGACACAGGCTGACGGTCTCGACTTGGCCAATCTCCAGGCCCTCGATCAGTTCCTTGATCTTCTGCTCGTCCTTGAGGTTGGAAGGAAGCCCGGTCAACCTGAACGTGCGGTCGGTGATGGTAGACTGCGTTCCCAAGTATTCCTGACGCACACGGATGACACGGAACGTCTCCTTGTTCACAATGTAAATGGTGAGAGCCGTGAAAAAATAGGTGAAGACGAGCCATGCCCAAAGATGTGCCTTGCCGTTGTTCTTTGCAACCGTGCCAACATCGTGGGATGGTTCGAAGGCGCCGTCAAGATTGGCCTGGCCGTAGACGGTATGAAGCATGGCAGTGCTGGGGTGTTTGCCGTGGTGGCCAGAATCGCTCATGAAGTGTCGGTTCACCGGAAGGAGGACGGCATAGGCAAAGAAGGCCATGATCGAAAGCAGGCGAATAGACATCTTGAAGAAGGACAGGAACTAGACCAGTCAGCACAGGGACCCCTCACACGACTGCCGAGAAGTGCCACCTACAACAAAGGCATCAAGGCCTGCCGAGGCCAGAACTTGCTCCTCAGTGACCCTGAACAGCCCTGGAATCCATCCAAAGAAGGTGTCGGGCAACGCAGGGAGTCCGATCGTAGGGTCGAGGCGCCGTTTGCGCGCCGCATATAGGGAAGACCATCGTGGTCGCAAGATCTGGGACACACGGTCAGCAAGCAAAGGTGACAGTGGCGAGGGTTCGACGCACGCAAAAGGTAGTAAACGCTGAAATGCCAAGCACAAGCGACAATCCCAACTGGACAGTGATGTCTACGTTTCGCGGTCGGAGGTAGTCGGCACCATTGCAAGTTTCGTTGGTCTTCTTTTTGGTCGCATAATCAAATAGGTCGTCCATTATGACGTCGGCGCATTTCTCTGCGGCCAAACAGCAGAGAGGGCGAGGTCGAGCTTTCGACGGAGAGGTGTATCGCGAGGTAGAGGTCAGTGGTAGGTACTCGTAGGTGCGCTGATGGTGGCAGGTGACGCGGTGCAGCCAAGCGTGACCAAGATGAGAGACAAGACGGAGCTGCAGCTCGAGGTCCCCACTCACATTCAGGACGTGACGTAGGCAGACATCATCAGCCACGGAGCCTGCCAAGCCACTGTGCACAGCCTCTCCCGGCACTTCTGACAGGTCCAGTTTGTGACATGTTAACGAATGCATGGCATGGAGGTGGCCTTATTGCTCGCAATCAGACACAATCGGAACAATCGTGCATCTCGTGATGGGACTGATGCAGGCATCACCGGATGAAGGGGACTGTCAGTGCTTGCCGAAGGTCTTGGAGGCAAGAGCACCTCAATCAAACTTGGAATAAGGGGCGAGGAAGTATCAAACACTCTTCACCTCATGCACTGGATGCTGCACTGTAACATGAGTCCATATTCAAATAGAAGAAAGCTCTTTCTTCTCTTTACCTTGGATTATCAGAAAAGATTTCGATATTACCCTTCTCACATATTTTGAACCATTCCATCTGGTGCCATGCCAGTTTAAAACATGCTTTGTTCTTGTTCCATAACATGCTTGGGGCCATCCTGGAAAGCCTCAGAAGAATGACATCCTGAAGAACTACACCGTATTCACGAGAAAGCCGCCGGACGGCGATGAAGGCGAGGGCGACAACGCGGACGACAACAATGACGACGAGGAAGGACCTGGTGCCAGAAGGACAGCTCGGGCAGGCACAAAGTCCAACGCGCCAAAGGCAGGCACTCTCACATCTGACGATGCTGAACGAGTAATAGCTGAACGAGTAATGATTCATAAAGCCTTTCGGCCTCAAATATGAGTTCTTTCTTTTTTAAATTTCACTTGCCGCAAATACGACAGAGATACTGCGAACTGCAGCCCAGGTGTCCTATATCAGCATCAGGCCGAAACTTCGCTATACTCTCCGTCCCTTGCCTCGGAGGAAATCACGTCTGAGTCAATGTCGGCCGTCTCTGGTTCGGATGCCTCCGTAGGCTCTACCCTTCCTTCGAGCATCTCGGGAGTGGGAGATCAGCCAAACGCGTCCTCCATCGGCCACATCAACGATACGCCAGCCGATATCAAGTGGCCCGATCAGACCGACCACGATATTATCGAGAGACGAGTTGCACAGGGCACACAGGGAGGGCCCAAAATGGCCATGGCACCTCTGGAGTACGTACTCCTTCCTGCGTATCGAATCGTCAGCCTTTGCCATCAGTCGAGCCTATCAGCCGCGGCTCCAGTTGTCTGTTCCTTACACTTTGGATGACTTGACACTGACTCCTAGTAGAAACTTTAATTTCAAATGCCAGCCGTATGATCTGATCGTGGGCTTTCTGGTCAAAGGTGTTCTGCACGTGTGGCGGTTACACAGGGAAGTCGTATACGCGAGATGCTATGCCGTCAAATTCCACGGAAAGCAGGATGTACGTTTGCAGTTCCTCGTTGCTCATTTTGTCTCTGAAACTGACCGTGGGGTGCCTTCAGTTGGAGCGCAAATACGCTCGAGGCTTGTGTCGTTTCAACACCGCCCCGGTGACGATTGTGGTGGTTATCCCGAACACCTGGGCTCCCCTTGGCATCAAACACCTCCATCACATGTTCAGAAGTATGTATAAAGAATGTGAGTCAACTTCCCTGACGCCGTTCCTTCCTGCGGACTGACGCCGACGAAGCCGGTCCCAGCGTCACTCTTACACCGAGGTTTACTCTGCAAGACTGCTTGACCTGCATCAAATTGGGCCACTGGCTCAATGATACATTGCTTCAAGCATACGAAAGAGGAATGGGTGCTTTCCTCAACGAGAGGCTTACGGCCTGGCTGTCTGCTTATCCCGCGCCACCGCAGGGACAGCAGTGTTCGTCCGATGATGTTGCATGCGTTTTTGCCCGCCTTGCGTCGAGATCGTGGTACCGCGACATGCTATTTGGTGAGTGTCTCGACGACCTGCGCATTCTTCTAGAGAAGAAACACCAGCTGCTGCTGAGAGAATCTGCGTGGGCTCGGCGCGTCGAGGAGGTCCCGGAGCTTGGCGTTTTGATGGGTATGGATTTGATTGAGCTTTGAAGTCAGAGTGCGGCGTGGGATCAGGGCTCGAAACGATCTCTGACGGTGGGAATCTGCTGGTCGGATTGGGTCGAATGACACTTCTGGGGGCCAGGCGAATAGGTAGCTGTGAGCACTTGCTGCTCTTGCCTGTAGCTGCCACACTTGGGCCAGAGATTTGATAATGGTGCTATCGTTTCTAACGAAATTGACATCCACATATGACTTCGCATCGAGCATCTTGGGACGCTTTCCGAGCAATTCATGGTACGAGGGACTGATGAATACGAGCAGCGGCCCAGCCCTGGGTAGCTGTCAGGTGAAATCGCAAGTGAGTATCACATCCTCGACATGGCTGTCGGACGAGTGGAACTCTCATGCGAGCCATGATCGCGAAGTATGCATTCC